ATATGACTTGCCTTCTACACTCAATTGAATCTGCTAAATTGCCTTCCTTCCCCATGGCTTTCCGCAGCACCAACCCAACCATAACCTACGACTCAACATCCTCCAAGATCATGTTAACTACGACGGCAAAACAATCGAGACAACCGTCACCAACAAAGCGGCCATCACTGATGAATGGATGGACGAACTCCTTACGCTCCACGCCGACCACCCAACGGTGGTGGTGGGCTTGGACGTCGAATGGCGGCCCCACCTAATCCGATCCATGAGCAATAAATCTGCCACCCTTCAACTCTGCATCGACACCAAGTGCCTAATCCTTCAACTCTTCTACATGGACGAAATCCCAGAATCCTAGAAAATGTTTCTCCTTGACCCCAAGTTTACTTTTGTGGGAATTGAAGTGGATGAGGATATTTTGAAGCTTAAGAACGAATACGGGTTGAATTGTTCTAAAAGTGCAGATATTCGGGAGGTGGCATAGACCATGTGGCCGGGAAGGTTTCGTCGGCCGGGTTTGAAGGATCTTGCAACGGAGGTGGTGGGGGTTTACATGAAGAAGCCAAAGCATGTTTGCATGAGCAATTGGGAGGCAAGAGTGCTAAATGAAAACCAAGTGGAGTATTCTTATGCTTCATACAAGATTGGCCACAAGCTTTTGCTTCAAGATCAAATTTAATGAAGGGTTATTTTGGACAATGATGCAATGTCAGTTTAATTGACTTTTTTGGTAAGGTTGTTTATGTATTTTTGTGCTGATAACTTTTCTTAAAGAAATGAATTTAAGAACTTCAATCTAATATTTTGTCGTTTTTTGTCCTTGGATTAATTTTCATATACTCTAATATGAAATGTGTCGTGAAAATTTAAATCTATATTTGATGAATTAACATTTCATGTTGTTTTTTTAGCATATAATTTTCATTGCAGCCATGGTCAAACGTAAATATCTTTGCACCTTCTATTTATTAAAAAGTTCAAAAAGATCTGATAAATAATATTAAATAAATAAAAGTTTGAAAAATGACATCATTTTACTTCTCTCTCTTTTGTGCTTCTTTCTCTTTTACTTTTTTGTTTTGTTTTTTTAATTAATTAATAATAATAATTATTATTAATCTATATTAATTATAATTTTTATTTATATTATATATTAATCGAACATAAAATAATAAAAATAATTAAAGTGCAAATTAATAAAGTTAGATGATGATACGTTCATTGAGTAATAATGAATAGTAGAGAGGGATAAGTGTCTTTAACATATATGTAGGGATGCAAATATCCCAACCCGTTGGTAAATGTAGCTTAGTTTATACGAAAACATCGGTTTCGAGTCCCACTAGTGTCAACTTAAAGTTTGGCGTTTTTTTGTCTTTTATAAAAAATTTATACCTTGGACTTGAACACGGGAAAAAAAGCAAACTGATCAATGAAATATTTCAATAAGCTTGTTTTATAGTCAAATTTTTGGCACCATCCAAAAAAATTGAGTCCACCTCGAGAACTTGTTATTTTATTCAAATTTTGAGTGACACTTTAAGTTTTCATTTAATACATGATAATTAAGAGTTTTTACTTTTTAACTACACAAAGTAAAATTTGCAAACATTTAAATGTTCAAATAAAATATAATTAAAATTACAAAGTTTGATATCGATACATAATAAATTCAAAAAACTAATAAATAATCAAATAAGTTGATATTAGTGTGTACACAACTTCAATAAAATTTACATACTTTTTGTTGAAATACAAAATTATTAAAAACTCTTTTATTTTTAATCTTTATAATATTAAAATGTAAAATTCTAAAATTAACAAAAAAAAAACCTTTCTTTTTCGAAATTTAATAGGGCAAGTTTGTCCCCAAAAAAAGTTTGCATATTCATGTGGGGACTACGGCAATGCAGGATTGTAGTTTGTTCTGTGTTGGGTTGTATTGGTTTGACCATCACTCGTCCTTTGTGTCCCTGATGTGGGGATGAAGTCGAAACTGTTGATCTTTGTTTGGTCCGTTAAGCAAGTCTCCGACGTATGGGCAAAAGTTGTTGTTTAACTTCCTTCAATTTGGATTCAGTTTAGGATGTATCTTCCATGGAGAATCATCCCTCAATATCTTCTTATTCAAAGAGTTTCTATTAACCGGTTTGTGGACTGCCATGTATGTAAGTTGGATTACACGTAACAAGGTGGTGTTTTCTGGTCAGCCACCTCCAAATTGTGATATGCCTTTAGATATTCATTTTGTTTCGTATCTTCATCTAATTGTGTTGAAACATTTTAGTTACTCTTGACTGGTGTTGCAATGAGGGTAATTTTTTAGGTAGCTCGAGGGTCAAAGTTGTGCTTTTTGTTGTTTCTTACAATTTGCGTTCTGCATCTTGCAGAAAGTTGTTTCTATGTCTTCGTTTTAGCTGTTATTTTAATGAAGTTGCGGCTTTAAAAAACCAAATATCAGTACATGTCAAATTTTGTCATATCTTTGTTAAAATCAAAATTACCAAATAAAAATGTATATATTTATCTAGAAATATATTATAAACAACAATTTCTATATAAAAGAAACACTTATTTAAATTTGGGAACACAACCGCTAATTTGATGATGATAATGTTGCTTTGAGAGTTCTTTTCAAATATATGGGTATTTGGAAAAAGGTTACTAGAAATTGGGGTGTTTTAAAAGGAACACTTGAATTAGAGTTGACGGAGGTCACCGCAGGTGAGGAGTGGTGGCTAGGGGTGCTCATGGGTTGGATTGATCGGGTTGAAGATATTTGAACAACCCAATACAATGCTTGCGGTTTGGAAAAATTTTAACCCAACCCATCTCAAACCAAAGTGCAACCCAACCCGTACGGGTTGGTTGGATTGATACTATGGTACATTAAAATATTCTTCTAACCTTGAATATGTTATTTGTCTACTCATAGTTTCTTTTTCATCATCAACCATTTGATACAATATATCCATATTTCTTACGTATATCACATTTAGTTAACTTTCTCAATTTACATATATATGTTCACAGTTACCGAACCTATGCATGAATGAGTTATATAGAGATGTGAATAGATTGAAAATATGTGTATATGAAAAACATACATGATAGTGTAATTGTCTAATGTATATATTAATAGAAATTCAACAATCATAATAAATCGAATAAATAAAAGGATATCGAGTTTATCGAGTTGGGTTGAATTGGATTCAAATAATAGTAACCCAATATCAACTCGATACCTACGGTTTGACAATTTTACAGCTCGATTAGACATCGAGTTGCTTCGAGTTAGATTATTTCACGTTGAGTTGGGTTGATAGGGTTAATCAGGTTGATCAGACTTTTGAGGACCCCTGTTGATGGCTGTTATGATAAAACAAAAATTAGAGTTGATGTTTTGACGCTTGAAATACTTGTACGAGTGGCAATTATAAAATAAAAGATTAATATAATATAATATATTATTTTATAAAGAAAATTAAAAAGTAATAAAAAGACAAATATCCCTTAATTTACAAAAATGGATACTTAAAAGGTTTAAAATATCACATCTTGTATACCAAAATAAAAAATTTAAATGAATCATATTCATATAAAAGTAAGTTACGTTTTTATGCAATTTATTCTATTAATAAATACATAACTTCAATCTTATAATCTTGAATTAATATTTAGATCATATAATAAATGAATCATTGATCATAAATATCTCCATTGTTGTTTAATTTGTATTGAGAAGTCTCGTTTATCATTAACTTTAAAAATTATAACCTTATCATACATTAACATAACAAGTTATATCATTCACGAATTAATTACCATAAAAAATTACTCATCAGTCTTGAGTTTTAGTCCAAGTTTAACATTAAGCTATACAAATATAACCATATAGAGATTACATTTTTTAACAAAATATATATAGTTCCTAGAGTTTAATCTACTTTATAACAAACTATCTTTTTATTCAAAAATTATCTTTTCTATAAAAATCTTTATCAACTTACTATAAATTAGAATGATTTAACTTCTTCAAATATTTCTTATTACCAGTTTGACATCGATATAAGTTGTTTATCTAAACACTCAAAAATACTTGTTACCGGTTACAACCGAAAAACTTATTAAGTTATGAAATCCCAAACACCCCCCCAAGAGTCACACCAGAAGAACATCAACTTTCTTGAAGAAAATAAGATGAAAATTCTTCACATAAAAAGAAATCATCTATCAGAATTAATCAAATCCTGGAACAAAAAGAGGGAATTAATTGTGATTTTGACAAAACAGAATTGAACAGCATAATATACGAAGATGTTTTCCCAAAAACTAAATTCGATTTAACACAGATAATATAATACACGTTGATCTCGAGTTTTTCCTTTACAACTATGAGCTTCAAGTTGCAAGGAACTATGTCTTGCCATTATTACAGAATCACTGAGTTTTGAGAATGCTTGTTGAATCGGTAGTCGGCAGCTATGACAGAAAGATTAGAAAAAGAGCAGATTCATGGGTAAATTTGAGGTCGAAAAATATACTTTTCTTCAAGAATCATCAATTTGACATAGACGAGTCAAAACAACAATCAACCAGAAAAAAAACATTTCCATTTTGCACCATGCTCGTATAATCTGATCACTACGATTCACATCAGATTATGAAAATAGGTGCCCACAAATGCTACCATAAAACAACTTTCTTAACACATATATGTAAATTTTGAACATAATCACTTCAACGTTTCGAGTATTTCTCACATAGAAAGGAATCATCAACAATAATTAATCAAATCAATTGATACAAAATAATTGCGATTGTTCCTGCAAAGGATGAACCTAAACAAATCTCGTAACCATTCAGATTTCAAAAACAATATATTGTTCAAAATTAAAAAATAAAGATATTGAAAAGAATGGTTGATCCTCGAAGCAAACGGACAACAATCTACGGAACAAGTTAATCGAAAGTCACTGGGATTCAAAAATGGGAAGCAAAACAATCAGAGAACTTTGAAGGTATTAGAATGAATTCAACAATAAAAATTCAGAGTATAGTTTTCATCATTTTGAATTTGCTTCCTAATTTCAAGATCTAACAACAAAAAGAGAGGGAATTAATTGTGATTTTGGCAAAACAGAATCGAAGAGCATATCATTGGCTACGGTGAAGATGTTTTGCCAAAAACTAAATTCGATTTAGCACAAATAATACCCTTGGATCTCGAATTTTTCCTCACAACTATGAGCTTCAAGTTGCAAGGGGCTATGTCGTGCCATCTTCACATACAGAATCGCTGAGATTTGAGTTCGTATGGAAAAGGAGGAGAGGTGCGGCTGCGAGATATAACAGTCGTATGCTCAACATATTTATAACATGCCTTACTTCTAGGGTTTCAAATGATACGTCGTCGTTTCCTTACTTCAATTTTATTTAATTAATTTCATCATTTGATTTTCGTTATCTATTTTATTGATAATTAGAAGGTACTCGTGTAATGTAACGATATACATCTTGACTTTAAAGTTTCATTTTATTCTGTTTTTATCGATGTTATAATATGATTTTATGTGATACTAAAAAACGATAATTTTTTATTTTTTAATAAAATATAAATTTGAAAGTATCATAAAATTT